ATCAGGGGCTCACACAACTCTTATCACAATGCACATATCCATCCATGTGTCAAGCATGGGTAAATATTTCTAAAGTCAGTTTGTTTTTTGACTAGTTCATGATACAAACATCATGGGGACACAAATACATGCTAGCCCCACAAATATAAGCGGTTTAATAATCCCTACTGTTACATAAAGGCACACCTTAAGTGGAAAACCCACAAAAATACCACACTTGCTTGGCGGGGCAAAATGCTCAAAATGTTTATTCACTCTCTACTGTTCATAACTTAAACCCAGAGCTCCCCTAAGGCCTTCCACAACCTGGTCCACCCTTTCCCCAGTCTCTCACTACCTTCCAGGTGCCCTACATGTAAAACTAACTAAATTGAGCAGCATGCACTAAACTTTGACTAAGTTAACCTAAGATTTGTTTTCCTTTTCACCTTTAATGTCTCCCCACTCTGTCCTCCATCTTTGCTGAAAACCTACTGTGCAGTAGCTGGTCCGTTCTCAAGACTCACCTTAAGTGAAATTTTAGTTACTCTCTGAAGTACTGCCCGAGACTCAGCCACGAGGGGCTCTCCTTTTATGGGTCTACCTATGATTTTCTCGACATCTTTTTGCAGTGAACATATTTCTGTATATTACCATCTCTTTTACCTAGGCAAGAGGCAAGTCTCATCTCTGTGATCACTCATAGCATCAAACAAAAATCCCATGGTATCAATATAAGCTCGATAAATGCTATTTCATGAATTTATATAAGAAAGAAAAAATCATTTGTCTTTTTTTCAGGGAAACATTACTTTAAGAAATGATCTTTACCAGCATGCCAGCAGGCAAAGGAGCAGAATCATCCGTGGGATACATTCTTGCAACTGGGCACTTGAGAATGTCTGTTCCATTTGGAGCTATTTTACAGTAATCTTGGATACACTGCAGCCACCACCACACAGCATCCCGGCAATTGTATCTGGCGTGAGTTCCTTCACCAAGGAGGTTAGGAATAAGACCGTGTCTCAGGGTACCAGCAAATGCTAAAATAATGTTCCTAAAACAAAAGAATTCAGTGACTCATTTGGAAGGAAAATAACTAGTTATAAAGCTGAAGACAAAAATTTGTCATTTCTGACCCAAAACCCACTGCCACTGAGAGGCATCTGATTCACAGTGAGCCCACAGGATGGAGTACAACTGCTGAATGGGGTTTCTGAGACTAAATCGCTATGGGAGGGCACAACCTCATTTTTCTCCTGTGGAGTAGCTGGTGAATTTGAACTGTTATTATTTTTATGTATTTTCTCCCCTGCCCTCATCTATATTTCAATGGAGAAAGTCATAACAATATGAGAATAGACATTGAATGAAAAGTTAGAAACCTGGTTTCTTACCCTCACCTTTTCCTCTAGCTAGCTGGATGGCTTACTTCCTGTGGCATGGTGTTTTCATCTGTGAAGATGTGGAATGGACTAGGTATTTCTGACAAGCTGCCAGGTGATGAGCACCCTGGTGTTCTCTGAATAAGCACACTCCGAACAGCACTGTCGTACAGCTTTTCTTTTCTACCTGTGATACATTAGGTCATATGATTTGGGCATAGCCCATTCTGAATGCAGAAAACCTAAAACTGGAGGATTTAAGGTCTGACAACCAATAAAGGAAAAGTAGAGATTACTATAGCTTTCTCCAGGACACAGGCACAGAAACTTCACTGCTTTAATGAGTGACGTTTGTAACATGATAAAAAGTCTAATGCTATTGAGTGGAATCATAAAGTAGAAGATAACAGGACCTACGATAGGCAGGACTAGAATTTAATAACCAAAATAGTTTCAAATTTTTGAATTACTTCTTTGAAATTCTATGATTCTATTACATGAACATTAACAACAAAAATCATCAAGGGGATTTGAATCCACCTTTTTTGACAGCAACTCTATAAAGAGGTTGGAAGAGTAAATAAGACATACATTTGCACTACAAACTCTTTGAGGATCTCCTACCTGGCCTCTAAATAGCGTCCAGTAATCAGCAGCAGACCTCGAAGAGCAATGAAAGTATCCCTTCCCCAGCAGCGGAAAATACCAGACGAAAAGTGAGGTAAGCCTACCAGAAAACACATCAATGGATAATCTTAATAATACAGATAAATCTTTGAACCTCATTACTACAAATCAGTCTGCAGCAATGTGCAGAATGCATGTTTACACAGAATGTCAATTTTGGTGGGATGTCGTTCTATACCCTGTTCAGTTTCTTTTCTTAATTTTTATAAATCCTTTTATTGGGGGATCATACAACTTTTATCACAATCCATCCATCCATCCATGCATTGTGTCAAGCACACTTGCATGTCTGTTGCCATCATCATTCTCAAAACATTTCCCTTCCACCTGAGCCTTTGGTATCAGCTCCTAATTTTTTCCCCTCCTTCCCCACCCTCTCTCCTTTATGAACCAATAACTCAAAAGAGATGAAGAGCCAGTACTAGAGAGAAAATGTGTAGCTGAGTTGATATAGATGTGGAAGACTAAACAAATATACTTTCTTTTAATAAATTATTATTTACAGATTAAAACCACAGACCAAATATTCAATACACAAATAATCTCAGTACATAATGTTGAAAGAATGCAAATAATGATCTTCAAATCTGAGTACAGTTCTGTTTTCTTCTAGACTTAAGTACACAAAATACAAAAAAACTCCCTTGGGAAGCTAGAAGAGAAAACAGAACTTCTGCTTATATTGATTTATCATCTAATTTCTTCAGTTTGTATTTTGTTTTACCTTGCATTTGATATGTAAGTATGCTAGGTATCATAACTTAGATTATTATATCAGCATGTCACTTATTGATAAATGTACATAGTTTGTGAGTACTTAACAATTGCAATATTCAATCTCAAAAGTTGAGATTACTACTATGTAATAGGTTTCTAATAATTAACATTCTTTGTATTTATTTTCGCCCCAATGGCTTCATGAACCATTTTCATAAACAACTGCATGGATTCATAGACCAGAAGAAACTCCAACAATGAAGTAAAAATCTGAAACACAATCATAGATTTAAAACCTCTAGATAGTGAATAAAAAGATAATTTTAAAAAATTGCTACTCATTATTAAGCTTTCTCCTTTATTTTTTTCATGGGATAGGCAGGTGACAAGTTATGGGTGTTAACTATCACTTTCACTGCACAATTAATTTTTCCCTGAAGGTTGGAAAGTTCTAAACTTCAGTGGCCTCCAATTAAAAATCAAACACACTTGTTTTTCATCCTAAGCTTTGTTACTTGATTCAGGTTTTAAATCACTTGCAGGAAAATATGTCAATTTAGTAAACATGCTTAACAGTATTTGACTGCAGTTAACAAGTATAATAAAAAATAACCCAACATTTGCTTTGTGTTTTGTGATTTGTACACAAAACCTATACAGGTAATGCACAGGTTCTCATAAAAAATCACAAGCTCAGGTCATTTTTTAAAAATTGAAGAAGAAATATAATACTGGAAAAAAGGCCTTAAAACAATAAAGAATCTGACAGAAAAATACAAAACGCTAAGAGTTAGAAAAAACCCAGAAATAATCTGCAGGGGGAAAAAAAAGGACTAACAGCTACGGAAACCCCACTGCCATCGAGCAACACACTACTAATTAAATACTAAGTACTGTTGTTATTATTATTATTCATGGATAGCAAGGACATTTTGCTAAGTAGCGATATAAAATCTTGGATAATAGGAGTTTTTTCTTTTGATAATCGCTTTCCCATTAAAGAAAACCTTCTTTCTCTCTTCAAGCAGTACACGCCCAGGAATTTAACCGTATGTATAAATTCTTACCTGCAGCGAGTGAAACACAACATTGCTCCTTTTCCTTCATGGCCTCATTTACTCTGTACGGCACATCAGTAAGTGACAGTGAAAGAAGTGGGAGACAAGGGAATTTTCCTACTCCACACATCTGAACCGAACCCAGCGAGAGGTGTTTCACAAAGGTTGACCCATTCTGCACAAAGCTGTAGCAAAAGTGATGGGATTTAAAATATTTTAAAAATACAATAATTTAGCAGTATTTATTTTGCTTCTTCCCTTCAAATAATCTTTCTATACAAATGTGAAACAATGATAATAATAAAGAACAAATGTTTTTTTCAGTGTGGTTAGATTTCAGAACTGCTTTCATTTCACCCAATATTTGGGGCTTTAAGCCCAAGGTCTGCTGTGAAATAAAAGGAAAGCTGGAGTTTCTGAAATTATGCACAAGTCAATTGCTGGGTCTTCACCAGCACATTTCAATTCATAATTTGATTTTGGGAAAAAGTGATTAAGTTCAATTTAATTCATAATCAATTAGCAATATATTCTTTAATTGTTGGAAAGTTAGAAAAATTATATCAATGAACTTATGTCAATGAATAAATAGAAATAAACATTTTAAAACAATTTAATTTTCCCATCAGCTTTTAGAGACAGATTTTAATATATGTTTAGTTTTGTATCTACTTACATATTTTCTCAGCTCTATGATTCTATGTCAACTGCTCATATTTTAATCTTTTAAGAGTACATATAAAGTGATTCCATGTATGGCTTCTACACAAACAAGGCTATTTACTCAAATTTTATAGGATATACCTTGACATCTGCTTCCATGCGACATCCAGAAGAGTGGTGTATGCACCAATTAATATAGCATCGAAGTAACATGGGATAAGGTAACGTGGAATCTGCTTCAGGTAGAAGAACATAGCCCGCAACCATTTGCCAACCTGTGATAAAAATAATTTACACAGTTCATTTGGTGTGTTTACTTGTTGGTATGTTTTAAGAGGTAGATCAAAACATGTAATTTTATTTGAGTAATCAACCAGATATCCATTAGAAGCAAGAAATGCTGAAAGGAGGAAAGGTACCTGGTTAGAAGACAATGTAAATATTACATAAAACATGGTAATATAGTTCTTGTTGTGCCTTAGTTTTTGTGTGCATGTGTGGTGGAAAGTGTAGATTAAAACATAGTCTTACTTACTTCAGCAATAGTTCCAGATCGTGAAATAAGCCGGTTACTAACGTAGTCTATCATCCAATCTCCAGATCTTAAGTTATCACAAAAAGGATGCCCCAAGTCATTCTTGGGTCTTATTTCTGCTAACACAGACATCATCCCTAAAAATTCAGAGAAATAGTATGCTGTATTATTATCATAGGTAATTGGTTTTCGTATCCCAGCCCCAAATCAGTGAAGGGCAATTACCCTTAGGAAGGACATTGTAGTCATCCATGAAAAGGGTGGAGAAAATGGATATGGAACTAGGCTGAACATTAAGAAAGAGAAAAGGCCAGAAAAAGTGCTCACAGAAATGTGGTCTTTTTTTTTTTGTTGACATATTTTTTTTCACATATATTTTTATTGACATATAATTTACATATCACACGATTCAATAGTTTGATCATATAAAAGAGAGTTGCTCAAGCCAAAGTGTGGTCTTTTCAATCAAGCAGAAGTTCAACAGCTAGGAGTGGACATAAAGTATATACTAGCTTAAGCCAGTAACATATACACTTTATTACACACAAATAGCGTATTTCATGTAGAAAATGAGGCTCCTTTAAGGAAAAAAATTCAAGAAGTACAAGAAAATAATAAATACTGAGTATTTATATACTTATTTCATAAGAGATATAAAAGCTACTAAAAAGCAATAACCAAATAAGAGAACACATACAGTCTTCTATCGCAGTAACTTTACAATCTACTTTGTGGAGTTTTATGAACTGTTGTTGGTTGCCACTGAATTGTTTTTAACTCATAGTAACCTGATAGCACAGACGAGAACAGCCCATCTAGTAAGGACCTTCTTGGCTGCCATCTTTATGGGCGCCGACTGCCAGGTCTTTCTCTGATGGAACTGCCAAGTGGGTTTGAAATGCCATCCTGTACTTTACTAGGTGTGGCCTAATTGCTTTCCATGTAATACTTTAAGGTAAATACTTTTGTTACTCCCATTTTACAGATGAGAAAATTGAGGCACAAAATTAGTTACACCAAGGTAATATTTGTACAGTTCCGTGTAACCAGGGAATCTGGTTCTAAATCCTGCTTCTTAGCTATAATAATAACTACACACATGTGCACACACAAACACACACAGACACACACACACACACACACACACACACACACTGACCAAAATGAGGCAATGCATTCTAAGGACAAATTAGGAGGCATAGGAAAGAAATGGAAAGGGTGTCTGGAAATTACTGAAAAAGCAATAGTTATGGACAGCTTTGTGGAAGACTAAGAAGGGAACCAGTCCTGAAAAATGGGTTAAATGGACAAAAAATAAGGGGTTGAAAAGAGGTGTGATATGTGAGAAAACATGAACCAGGGATTTAGGTGTGATAAAACAGAATTCCTACATAGAGAGCACAGAAAATATTACCAACCAGATGGATTAAACCATGTTTCCCAAAGTTTGTGATTCCTCCTGGGGGGATGGGGCATTCCAAAAGCAGGTACCTATACTTTATCCTGGATTATGGGCTATATATAGCACAAAAGTTTTTAATTGCTGGGGAGTTTTTTTTTTCTGAAAATGTGGGGGAAGGCCAAATAAATTCAGGAATCTGTGGATTAAATAAAGTTAAATATTTGGTTCCAACAATAACTCTAGATGCATATGATTTCGCTACAAACTCTCTTTATAAGATAAAACCAGTATGTCAAGAAAAAATCTTCTCAGCTAGATGGAAAAGGAAAATGGATGGATTATATTCACAACTAATCCCATTGTGGCCCAATTAAGTCTATTATTTTTCTTTTATGGTATAAATCACATGAAGAAATATTAACGTCAAAGTATATTTAAGAAGCTATATATGAATGACATCAAGGAATAATACAAAGCTAGAGCTTTGGTGGTATAGTGGTTATGCACTGAGCTGCTAATTTCAAGGTTGGGAGTTTGAAACCACCGGCCCGTCCAAGGAATGGGGCTTTCCACTCTGGTGAACAGTCTCGGAAACTCATAGGGGCAGTTTAGAGATGCAGAAACAGGGGCAACGAAAAGTTCCATGTCCAAGGTCAATCAGTCAATAGGTAGCCATAATTTGACCTCAGTAGTTGAACTCCGAGCCCATGCTTTTTTTTGAGCCTATGCTTTTACTTATAAAAAAAAAAACTTATACCCTAAAAGAAAAGCAAAAAACGTGCTTACCTTGAAGACCTGCATATTTAAGGGGTGACCACTTTGGTACGTCATAGCACCCGCCACCATCTTCTTGTTCTTCTGATTCACATCGGTACAGTAACTGATTTAGCTCAGCCAAAGTTAATTTAGAGGCAATACTAAGAATCAAAAAAGGAAAAGGCACCTGATTAAATGTTATATTACATTGAAAAAGTATCCTATGCAAATGTTAATATCTTCATTACTTTCTTTTCTCCATACATGTATTTTATTAATTCTTTGGAAAGTTTAAGATATACCCCTGTAAGGGAAAGTCTATAAAATTTTGCTTGCTGTTAATGAAAAAAAAACCAAAACTGAATTTATAACAAGGCAATACCTTAGTATGTGTTAGAGGCTCAGCATTATAGTATACATTGTAAACAACATATATCATGAAAAACTGTTGGGCCAAACATGCTAAAATTTAGTTAGCAGTGATACTCTCAAATCAAGGAAATAATCAAGGGCTTTGACATTATTTATTAGGATACATTGAAAAAAGTAAACACCCCACAATAGCAACAGGAAAAAAAGGATTTGTTCAGCTGGCCCCATACGGCCCGTGTCCTTCAAAGATCAATTGTAATGTACTAGTGGGAATTAGTATACAGCCACTAGTCCAGTGGTTCTCAACCTGTGGGTGCGACCCCTTTGGGGGTCGAACAACCCTTTCATAGGGGTCGTCTAATTCATGACAGTAGCAAAATTACAGTTATGAAGTAGAAACAAAAATAATTTTATGGTTGGGGGGATCACTGTATTAAAGGGTCACGGCATTAGGAAAGTTGAGCACTACTGCTCTAACCTATCAGAAAATTTGGATTTATATGCCAAATTAGAAAATATTTGTGATACACAACAAAGAATCAATACTCTTAATTATAAAGGTTCTTATGAAACAAAGGAATATAGAACACAATTTTAAAATGGGCTATAATACATAAAGTGATTTTCATTGAATGTAAATGGCCAATGAACATATAAATCATTTAGCTTAACTAATTAAATAAATATGAGAAGTTGTTTCAAATGATTTTATATTTACCAATTTGATCATTTGGATCAGCTTTAAGTACATAATACTCACTCCATAGGGAGGTACTATAATTATATACATTAGGAAACTTCCCCAGTCCATATTTCTTAGAGCTACCATGCCTCTGAGACAGGACTCAAATCCAGGAAAGGCTAATTCCATACTCTAAAGCACTCTTAAGCACTACTCTATAATAATGTATACTCAGAATTGGTTAAGGACATGGAGAAATGGATACTTTCACTTAGAGTATTAATTAACAGTCATTGACATAGCTTTCTTGGGAAATTTGGCAGCACATTATAAAAGGCTAAAATATATGCATTCACATAAATTCCTGGAAATTTATCCTAGTATTGGCAGTAAGCATATAGTGAGTTCTTACTCTGTGCCAGGTATTTTGTTAAGTGTTTTATAGTAATTATACTATTTATTCTTATAAAACCCAAAGAGGTAGATATGAGAGCCTCGTTTCACAGATAGGGAAACTGAGATGAAAAAGTCTAACTAACTTGTTCAGCATTAGATTGATATAGTGGTGACACTAAAGTAAACTCTGGTCTAAACTTCAAGACCCATATAAGAGGTAGTACCGTTTAGCAAGGGAATAGTTAGTAAGGGAACAATTATACATTTATGCAATTATGGCTATACAAAGACGTACACATAACTCGACTGTAGCTCCTAGCTACCCTAATAAGGGATGACTAGTGGCAGTCTACTGTCTAAAACTGGGAAACCAACTGAGTGAATTATGGCATAAGTATATCCATGACGTAGAATATTGACAATAAACAATGATACGGTGCAGGGGATAGTTTATATAAGTTTCAAACGGCTCAAGAAAAAAGAGAGGGAGAGTGGATTGGTGGTGTGCATAGAAAGAGAGAATGTATATGAGAGAGCTTCAAAAGGGTCCTGGAAATGACAGTGGAAGCCCAAAGTGCATTTGCAGGATCCACTCATGGATTAAGTCTCTGGTGACTCCCTTCTGATCATAGTTGGGGGAAGTGAATAGCCTTGTTATCAGACAAAGAGCATTGCACAGTAGACGATAGCAGACATAGGTCTAAAAATGTAGTGTCTTATCATTTGATCTCCCCTTTGACCCATTTTAAAGCTGTTTCAGTTAAAAAAAAGTGAAGGGGAAATACACACAAAAAACAAAAGTTCGTGGAAATTTTTCATTATCTTTAAAATCTATTTTTCCGTGAACTTTTTGAAGCCTATATGTGTGTATACATGCACATATATATACATACATAAAGAGAATATGAGGACATGTATGACAGCACACACGAGAAAGATAAAGTAACAGTGTAAAAGACTAAAAAATAGATGCTGCTGATGCTGCTACCTAGAACCACATTGAGTTCATATAAAACCAAACCAGATGTCATGCAGTTGATTCTGACTCATGGAGACCCTCATGTGTATTAGAGTTGGATTATATTCCACAGTTCTCGAGTGTGACCTTGACACTCCAATCAGGCCAGTGACAGCAATGTTTTTTAAAGACAACATTTCATTTATTTGCCATTAGAAATATTTCACAATATAATTACGTATGGTTGTGATTAATCACTGTGCTTTCATTATGTTGAATTTGTAACAATGAAAACACATCATACAGATAAATTTACATGATGATTCATGACAGTAGAAACATTACAATTAAGAAAAGTGGGGGGCACCACAACATGAGGAATGTTGAGAACCACTGCCATAGTGGGGTAAGCCTTTGTAAAGCAACAGCTAGTTGCTAAAGGCTATCTGAGCAGGTTTCCCTAAGTTGTAAATTAACCCTCAACACAATAAGATAAAAATGCCCAGGAAGCTTCCCTCAAACAGGCGACAGCAACGTTTTAAAGTGACAAGTCTCCGTAAAAGAAGATATACTTACAAAGCAAAAGGAATTTTTAATATAGGATCTGCGTTGTCAATAGCAAGGCTCCCAGCTTTAAAGTGACAACTAAATTGTGTCAGATGATTTCGAATAATTCCAACAGCAACTTGTGCATGTGGATCAAGGCTCACTCTGAAAATGGCAATAAAAATAGTTAACTTGTAGGAGTAGTTTATTAAAAATTTCAGGATAAGTAAACCATGTTAAATAAAAGCAAAGCCAATAGTTTGAACTCTAACATACCTGAATATAATAATACTTCCTGGAGATAGGTTTTCAAATTCTATTTCTTGAATATATTCATTGGGTCCTTTTGTAGCTACTCCAGTTTGTTTAACAATTTTACTTTCATTAAGCTTGAAAAATAAAATCATTCAATAAATAATTCTAATATTCTTAAAATGTTAAATATAGTAAATAAGGTAATAGCCCTTAATACCTGAATATGTTCTCTAATTTCCACTGTGATATCTGGCATTCCATTGATTGAATTCTCATCCTTCTTATAAGGTTTTGTACTTCTTTCAATCGTTCTAGCTTCAAGAACTACTTCTTCAATTTTGCCTAAGAATATGTAAAAAGTATAACAAATTATCATTTAAAAGCATCAGTAATTGTGAATAGCTACAGGGCTCTTAAGGAGATCTGGTTGGAATTCACCAGCTGCTCTGCGGAGCAAAGATGTGGCAGTTTACTTCTGAAAGACTTGGAAAACCCTGTATGGCAGTTCTACTCTGTCCACAGCATTCCTGTGAAACATAATTTAGTTCTCAGCAATGGGTTTAAAGGTCTTTTAAATCATTTAACTTAAAGCCCAAAATGAAGCATAAATCAACTTTTTTAAAGGCCACAAAAATTTGAAAGTAGATAATTCTGCCAATAATCCATTTTCACACAATGCTTTTTTGCTTTATGAATCACAATTACATTAACAAAGGTGTCTTTTATTCTTTTTCTTTTCTTTTCTTGAAATGTTCTTAACAAGTAATAATGGTTTCGTCATGGTAAAAATATAGCACTCTTATTACATTTGAAGAAAGGAAAGTAAATCTCACTTGAAAGCCTAACATTTAAAAAATACAAAATGGAATATTTTGGAAATAAAATGTATAAAAATAATTACAAAAAGTAACTTTAAAAATGAAAATTCTATGATTTAGGTTAAAGAAACAAAACGATAAATACAATTGAAACCCTGTATACACTTCTTCCCTGCAGACGTCATCACTATCAACAGTTTGGAGTTCATTACTCTTGTCATTTTTATTCAGGTGTGCACTTTCCTGTACAATGTAGCAGTATTATTTTCCATGTTTCCAAATTTTATGAAAGTGGATCATGTTATGTGCAGTCTTCTGCAGCCTGCTTTCGGATGGTCAACATGGCACTTTTTAGACCCATTCCCATTACTACGTGCACTGTTTCAACTACAAGTTGTATTTCACCAAATAAATACACCAAAATGTGTTCATTTTATTATGATTATTCTATTATCATGATAATAGATGTTCTATTATAAAAACATTATAGAGAATAGTGTGCATGTCTTCTGATCGAGTATAATCAGAACATAGATAGGAACACTGCTATACACACACTAAAGAATATTAACCTATAGAACATAAAGAATACTAACATAACAAAATAAAACATTCAGTAAAAAGAAAGTTAAAATGTTGTGGACTGATAGATGTACTGGCAAATGGACATTTTAAAAGTGGCCACAAATAAAGCCCAAGATAATACTGTATACATTGACTGCAATAATATAAAGCTATATCTATTATTAAAGATAAAACAAGATTAAGCCAAAACCAAAACCAACTCGGTCAGGCAAGAGTATGGAATATCAATTTGTGAATAGTTAAAGAAATGAATGAGCATATCATCTGACAGCTAAGTAAGTGATAATTAAAAAGTTATGTTCAGCTAATTCTTAACTGATATAAAAACCTTGAATCTTTGATAAATACATAAGATCATGCTATGCTTTAGTTCATGATGCAAAACTGTAGGTAAGAAAATAAATAACACACAGCTGGAAAAAAGCCATGTAATAATAAACACATATCTCAGAGACATATTTATAATTAAGTAAGACAACTTGGGAAGCAGTGAATTCATCTATTTAGCTATAATAGTAGGGTGATATAGGGATAGGAAGGCAGGTGAGGAAGGATTATGAAGAGCTAAAATATAAGGCAAAACTATAATCCAGTTTAACTTATATTTGTGTATGTATGTATACATGTGCACATATAGATACTATATAAATGAAAACCAATACATTTATAATTTATCCTGGGTATAAAAGAAATACACATTCATGTTATACAAATTAGGAAAATTGATTAATATTTTATGAGTTATGGAGTAATATACTCCATCATAAAATGTTCACATTGAGAATATGCTTATCTAGGTTTTGTTTCATGCATTAAAAATAAGGTTACCAGAAATATCAATTTTTTCCTTTAACTACCTCCATATGTGTATTGTTACAATACATGATATATTATAATAACTAACTACAAGAATATAGTACCATTTAATGTAACCTAACGACATTAACAATTTTTAGATTTACATAACTGCAATAATAATTTTCAGATTTAATTACCAGGGATGCACATTTGTGGTACTTCCTTGCTGTAAAAGGAAGTCTTGGGATTCCTGAACGCAGTTCTGGACACAGCCACAACAGACTGATGGATACTAGGTGAGTGCCTGGTTATCGCCACTATGTCTTCATCCACCTGATCCACATACACCTGAAGAACATAAAGACAAAACAGGTGACTGTGGAAACTCTAAAGACCCTGGAACTGAACCTGAAGAAACTTAAGAGAAGTTCCTTGCCTGAATAAAACCCTTGGCTCCAAGCTCTTGGTGAAGTCTATTGATAGCACACCTGGCTGCAATAATGCCACTCTGGAAATTAACTTCACCTGTACTGGATGGCGATGCTCCAGGGTTCCACTTAGTGTAAAACCGCTCTTCAGAAACCACTGAAATCTGGACAAAGTTAAAACCCAAACACATTTCATTTTTAACTAACAATGAGAGTTTTTGATAAAAATACTCAATGTCGTTGTTAACATCATGGATTGTAAAAAACAAGGAATAAACAAACCTGATGAGGCACTAATTCATCATAGCCTCTAGTGCTTCCACTAGCACAACACGCCATAGAGACAATTGTGGAACTTGGAAGAGCATCATATACTGATCTATGCTAGAAAACAACAATAATAAAGCATTACTTTCAAATGCAAAGTGATCCTACAGCGTGATGAACTGAAAGAATATATCCTACAAGGGACAATGTCTTAAAATAAATAACTAAACATTCTAAAAACGCTTGAATCACAATCATTTGTAAAATCTAAGAACTATGTGAGTAGTATTGCGCCTAAACATTAGAGAACTAAATAACAAAACGTTTAGCAACATGTTTATGAGAACCAGACTGGATGCTTACCACAATGGGACTCTCATTGTCGTGTGTAAGGTCCATAAACAGAGCATGGGCAATAGCTGGCATTAAAGGCCTCAAGCAGGGCTGGACAAAGGATCCCACAGGTTCTCCTCCATATCGATAAACTAACCTGCCCTCCTCATGACTGTTATATGCACTCATCGCCTCTGCACAGTGTGACAGAATATTTTAACAATTACCATTATTGATACCCAAGAAGCGGTGAGATTTCCTATTATAACTGATTTTAAAATAAAGGCCACGCAAACATTACTTTGAAAACTTCATTTGCTTTAAACATTTAACCAAATGTTCATCTGTTTAAATAACAAGAACAAAAAGATTTCTTTATAAGTAAGATGGCTTACAATAGGTAAAAGGCAACATATGTTTTTAGGACAGTGGCTTTACAAAACCAATGGAAAATTATCCCAGGGTAATATCAGATATCTAGTTGGGAGATGAAAAACAGAAATATATGATCCAGGGGAAAAAAAGGTTTCATTTGAGTCATCAGTTTATTACACTGATCATTAAAGTATCTCATCCCAAAGTAGAAAATTTCCTTTACTACATTAGATAATTTAGGATAGAGTATTTGAAAGAATACTAATGGTGTTAAAATAATCATTAAACATTTTAAACAAAACTACCAAATACCCTTTACTCCTTTTAAACAAACGTTATAATTTTAGAGAAAAATACATTTCGACAAGCCTACCTCTTATTAAGGAACTAATGCCCAGTCTAGTAACAAAGATATTGTCCAGGTCTTCGCTTCCTGTGAACAGTTCGGCTACTACATACAAATTGGGTTGCAATTTCCTAGCAGCATCCAACATGTACTGCAAAAAGCACAGTCACAGATGTAGCAGAAAGGGAAAAGCAAGATCAGGGAGGAAAAAAGGCAAGACTGGGCATGGATTTGATATAGGAAAATAATCATGTAGTATAATAGAAATTCGCAATGAATTTCCAAAAATTTCAATTGCGCATATGTAGGAAACATCAACAGAACAACACACACAGTCAACAAGAAAATTGATGAAGAGAATAAAACAGTTACAGGGAAGATTAGGTTTTACAAAGATAAAGGAACAACAGGAGAGGGGGAGAAGAAGAAACATGTTAGTGTCACATTAAAAAAAATATAAATCAAAACAACAGCTTTGCCAGGCTTTCCTCACTACTGTTTGTTTGTTTTTAACACCTTTACTCAGACTGTTCATTTTCAGACAGTTGACTAAGTCATTATTGATAAAGTTGCTGCTGGGGAAGCATTTAGCTGTTACACAGATGAGGTCTGATAGCTCTGGCTGAAGCCAGTGTTTCCTAGATTGTAATACACTTTAAAGCTACAATGGTACTGACTGTCCAACTGAGATGAGAAAATATTGACAATAAAAAATCAGCTCAGTTCAAAGGACGAGTATAATACCTAAATTCTATCAGCTAGCAAGTAAAATCATTGATAATTAAAAAAAATTAAGCTAGTTTGGAATTCTGTGTTACCATAATGTCACAATTATCTTATTAGTTATCTTTTTGTTGTTGTTAAAACAAAGAAAAGACCCAATGCTATCAAGTTAATTCCACTCATAAAGGCATGGTAGAAACCCAAACAAGAAAACCAGACACTCCTTGTGGGTAAACAGAGTTGACCTATGCTCTACCAGCTTAATGGATGTTCACAAAATTCCTCCAAATCAAAGAGATTTCTCACCACAGAATGTCAAACATAACTGTATACTATAAATATTGCTTCAACATTATAGAAATATATATTTTCTGATAAGCACACATTTCCAAGGAACACTACAGTTGTCAACAGGAAGCTGTTAGAAAACCTATAAACGAGATAAAAGTTGTATTTGTGTATTTACAGAGCTGTATTAGAGAGAAAATAAGGCTATAAATGTTGGCATGCTCAAAAGTGACTATTAAAAAACCCCACAAGAATATATATATATAGTCCATATTTACTTATATATTTTTAAACAATTAATGAAAAATAGAATCAATGAGGCTGGCTAAATTAGCTCCAATATCCTTTAATGCTAGATTTATATAATCACTATAATGTGTAATATGGGACTCAACTTCACAGTTCCTAACAACATATGGAAATTTATCTAGACATAGTAAGAAAAATTGACATTTTATATACCAATAGGTGAATAAACTCACTGCTATTGAGTCAATTCTGACTCATCATAACCCTGTAGGAAAATAAACTCAAACCAAACTCACTGCCATCAAGTCAAAGCTGACTCATAGCCACCCCCTGTGGGTTTCTGAGACTGCACCTGTTCACGGGAGGAGAAAGCCCAGTCTTTCTCCCGTGGAGCTGCTGGGGGTTTTGAACCACGCAGCTTGCAGCCCATCTCGAAACAACTACACCATCAGGGCTCCTTACAGGCAAATAGTTGTGATGTATTATCATCAGAGATAATACGTTATTTGCCTAAATTTAAATTAAAGCATTATCTTACTAAACATTTTATCACCCACTATTCTATACAGCTGCATGAAAAGATGCCATTAGACTTATGGAAAGATTAAACTCTATGCTCAAATCAATTAACCAAATTAAGGCTTGAAGTGCGTCCAATAAGCAAAATGAAATCCCTATTTGCACATTAAAGGAATTCTAAACCAGAGACCTGCATTTCTTTCGTAAAGCGAGTTGGTTTTCTGTACCTCAGCTACATGAAGAGGCGTTGAGTGGCAGTTGTCCAGACGCACTCCTTGGAAATACGTTGCAGCGATTTCGGTGTATTTTTTCATGTGTGCCCAAAGATAAGGACAGTCCTCTGGTTTATTCCCGTAGCGTAACTTAACACTGTCTCCCCAGCAAATAAGTTCTCTTCTTAGATACACATTTGAATCTGTCGAGAGAAACTTGCTTTCAAATGGTTCAAGAAATAAGATGGAAAACAATTTTTTCAAGAAAACACTATCATTTAAAAATGAGATGGATTATTTCTATCACAATCTACATATTGTAAAAATTATATCTATAACAAGGTATGGGGACAAAGTTTAAACAATGAACATTAGCTTATGCTTCATATCTATTTTCTCCAAATTTATGCTAATAGATTCTCTTAAAGTTTGTGTTCAATTTCAAAAGTATAAGTTGCTTTTAAAAGAAAAATAGTCATGGAATTATTACAGGTCCGTTAAGAAGTACGGTTCTCAACATCAATGGGTACATGAAGGATGAAAATATTCCAAAGTTGATTGTGGTGACGATAGCTCAAGAAGACTATTTAACAAAACAAAACTACAGTTCTACCCCAAACATTACAACTTGATCTCTGCCTCTCTATTTTTCACCACCGGGTGTTGAATCCCTGGCACAGAGCACGGCAGCTTTCGCATTGAGCGTGACTAGAAAGGAGATACTCAAGCTTAGCTGCAGTTGAGTCCATGTCAACTCATGGTGACCCTATAAGAAGAGGAAGTACTGCCCCTGTGGGTTTTTGTACACAGAAGTAGAAAGCCTTGTCTTTCTCCCAAGGAGAGGCTGATGGTTTCGAACCACGAACTTTGAGGATCACAGCCCAAGGAATAACCACTACACTACCAACATATTTAAAGCCAGTTACATCAAAAAGAGAAGAGAAAAGGGCATATTGCCCACCACTAAAGTAGACTCCTACTTCGCAAAAGTTGAATAATAAACATATTGGTGACATCTCTGCTAAATGCTTCTTGACAACTAAATAATTGCAGAAAATCAAACACTGAAGGTAAGGAAGGGGAAACCTGAAAGCAATTTGTTTCTCATGTAGCTGCCATTTAAATACCTCCCACTGTTTTGGTCAATGGATAAAAATGCCATGTTTCTTAAGGAAAAAAAATGTTAGTCTAGTCATTTTAAAACTCTTAAATTTCCAATAGAATATTTTTTTTTGCAATATAAAATCTTATGCAGAAGCGCCATACACACAATTGATACAGAAAAGTTATCTGTTTAAAGGAAAGACAGGGACAGGAGAGAGATGAGTCTTGCTTGCCCTTATTGTCAATTCTTTCTCTTTTATCTCAGACCATGTGCCTGCTCCAGTCTCTCAGAAGAAACAGTATGGGAAACTGTGTGTGTGTGTGTGTGTGTGTGTGTGTGTGTGTGTGTGTGTAGAGAGAGAATCAATAAAACAGCTTCTATGAGTACTGTGAGCTTTCCATGAACCCTTTACTTCCCATATACATAGAAGTTACAAAGATGACATACCTGGTTCAGCAAAATTTCGAAGAGGATCATCTCCCATGACCCATCCGTTATATGCCATCAGAAAACAAGCTCTGTCTGGGAGATGACTCATAGACTCTTCTGCAGCCAGGGTCATGTCTTCAAACGGAGAAGTAAAGTATCTACAGCGGTACAGTAGATATTAGATCTGTGTAGAGAAATTCCTTGGGGAGCTTTTGAATGTGCAATATTAAAATTATAATATATCCAGCTAACTTTTTTTTAACATTTTAAATTAAAAAACAAAAAACCTAACTACTAGGAAAATCACTGAGGAACTGATGTTATCAGCTACTCTCTAGTTGTCCTTTCTATGCCCCACATAGCTTTTACAGTTAGGCACTAAATGCTTGCTCAATTTGATTAAGATTGAATTTATTAGTAGTATGCAAGAAATATTCATGTGAATAATAATTATAAACTGGTTCACACTAATGATAATGTCTCTTGTTAAAGATGTACCTCACAAAATTATTCAATATTAATCCTAGTTCATAAATAAAAATGTTCATTTCAATTTAAGAAATATACTGAAGTCGCACATTAAAAGAAATATGTAGGTAATCCTGCAATGTTAAACACAGTTTTCAACCATCAATGGGGAGAAAAAACAAAAATAGAATACCTGGTAACTAAAGGATATTTTCTAGTGACAGGTCCTAGTTTAGGACCATGGCCAGCCAGTCGTTCATAAAACACATTTTCCAATAGGCAGTTAACAGCCTAGAAAACATTAAACTATGTTACTTTACCACAGGACAAGCACCAACATTGAGACTCAAAGAAAAGCAGCCGTTTAAAGCAAGTAAAACCTGCTCCTGATGGTAGTTCATGAGTTGAAGCTTCTCTGCATTTAATTCCTCAATTCGCTTACTCAACCAATTACAGCATTCATCAATTGCAGCTGGCCCTTTGCTAGCGTGGAAAGCACAAAACAGACTCGTTACTTAATGGTTTTACAAATTCTACATTTAAAAATATTCTAATGTGGGTCATAGCAACTAATCATTCATCAGAATTTTAGTGATGGCTTAAGAACTTTTCCATTATTAAAATTTTCACATGCTTAAATAGAAAATGGTCTAGCACACACACACACACATACATACACAAAGGTCATATGTAGTAGCATTATGACTAATTACTTTAGTTCATTTTCTATGAAGAATTTTAATAAATAGTATGAAAATTATGTTATAAAAGTCATAAGTAGAATTAATATTTATTTCATAGGAAGAATATGAAACATACTCATGTGGTATGAAAGTCGCTAGTGCAATGTTCATATCTACAGTACAGCCAAGTCGTCGGTATTCAGGATCTTGGATTATCTTTAGATGTTCCATTGGATCAGACTTTGTTATTTTCCTATTGTCTGAAAGAAGGAAAAGATGATACATCTTCAATGCAAATACCCACAAGGGTATTTATATGTTACTGGTTTCAAAATTTCTTGTTTACATTTTTCATAGGAAATAAAGCAAACGAAACCCCTGTGGAGTTCATTCAGACTGGGTTCCACATCGGGATGCTCACCACAAAGGCAGCAGTTTGAAACCACCTGCAGCTCAGAGGGAGGATGAAGCTTTCCACCCTTGTAGAGATGTCCAGTCTCGGACACCCATAGGGCTGTTCTACTCTCTCCTAGAGGGTTGTAGGAGGTGGAATCAATCTGACAGCAATGAGCTTTTAAAATTTTTGAGCTTGTAAGTCTTTATAGGAGCTGATAGCTTCCTCTTTCTCCTGTGGGAGCTGCTGGTGAGATTGAACTGCCAACCTTTGGTTAGCAGTCCAAAGCTTCCTGACAGTATCAGCCAGGCACACACTTATTTTAAAAACATCCTATCTATCTTTCTCGCTCCATCTGACATACATATATATGTGCAAACATATTCATAGAAAACAATATCATAGAAGAAAAATACAGATAGCAATCAATTTAGCCCCAGCTCACAGATAGCACTTATTTTTTTAAAGCATGTGGATGAACCCCTCAGGTCAGAAAGCACTCGAAATATGAGAGAGGGAGTGGTGCCTTCTCACAGCAGAATCCACAATAGTGACATGGATGGAGTAAAGCCTTCCAGGACCGCTATTTGCTGACAGGGCATGGCAAGAGGAGAAGAAGAGACAGCTGCAAAAAAATCAATTAAGAATCTGAACTTGGAACATATGAAGTATGAATCCAGGAAAATTGGAAGTTGTAGAAAAGGAAATGGAATGCATAAAAATTGAAATGCTAAGCCAGTGGTTCTCAATCTTTCTAATACCGTGACCCTTTAATACAGTTCTTCATGTTGTGGTGACCCCCCTACCACAAAATTATTTTCATTGCTACTTCATAACTGTAATTTTGCTAGTGTTAGGAATTGGGCGATCCCTGCGAAAAGGTTGTTTGACCCCCAAAGGGGTCGCAGTCCACAGGTTGAGAACCGCTGTGCTAGGCATTAGTGAGTGGAAATGGACTTTGGTCATTTTGAATCAGAAAATCATATGGTTTGCTATGCCAAGAATGACACATTCAAAAAGGATATGTCAAGATCTAGCTTGAAGTACAATGCTGTCTATAATAGGATAATATCTATCTGAATACAAGGAAATCCAATCAATACAACTATCATTCAAATGTACGCACCAACCACAAAAGCTAGTGATGCAGAAACTGAGAAATTCTACCAATGTCTTCAGTCTGAAATTGACCAAACATGCAATCAAGATGCACTGATAACTATTGGCGATTGGTATGCAAAGGTTGTACGCAAAGAGCAGGGGGCAGTAGTTGGAAAATAAGGTCTCCTTGATAGAAATAAGCCGAAGACTGGATGATAAAATTTTGCAAGACCAATGACTTCGTCACAAATACTGTTCTCAATAACATAAAAGGCGACTATACACACAGGCTTCTCCAGATAGAACACATGAGCCACCAATAAAATAAATAAATAAAAACTATTTTAAAAAATGTCCAATACAGATTTGAATGCTAATAAAACTATAACACACACACACACACACACAAAGAACACACAGACATCAACTTGACTACATCTGTGGGAAGACATAATGGAGAAGCTCAATATCAGCAGCTAAAACCATGTCAAAGGCTAACTGTGGAACAGATCATCAATCCTCATATGTAAGTTCAGGTTAAAGCTGAAGAAAATGAAAACAAGTCCATGAGAGCCAAACTATGACCTTGAGTCTGTCCCACCTGAATTTAAAACCATCTCAAGTGCAGATTCCAGGCACTGAACACTACTGGCAGAAAGCCTGATCAGCTGTGGAATGACATCAAGAGCAGCAGGCATGAAAAAGACAGCAAAGAAAGAAAAGGCCTATGTGGATGTCAGAAGAGACGCTGAGACTTCCTCTGAATCGTAGTGAGACATTGTGCTGAGACACCGAAAGTGAGATACAGTTCCTACAACAATTAATTAAGCCATGTATCATTAAGACATGGATGCCCATGCTAACTTGCCAGTGGTTTCATAATCGGAATTCTGTATCATGTAATAGTAATATGTATCATGTAATAGTAATAGAACTAATACTATTAACCAAGAAGGGAGGAGATTAGTCCCTTTAATGATAACTTATTTAAGTTCTTAAAATTAATGCGAACATGCAAGCATATACCCAGTACCTTGTATAAGAAGTCTTCTAAATTGCTCAACTGCTTTGTAAACATCGACTTGGAAGAACTCCCAGAGTTGAGTTTTTGGGAAAATATCCTCCCAAACTATTTTTCGAAGGCACTGAAAAATTTCAATATTTAAGAATAAGTATTTAAAATATGTCCTACTAAGTACTAGCTATCATATTTAAAATAAAGATTCTAAATAATATCCACACCCTAAATTTAAAGGGCTTCAGAAATTGTTATTGTTTTGGTGTGGTACTCCTCTATACATACTTACATTCATTTGTTGATCATTTTCGATCAAAGCAGGTACTCCTTTTTCTTTGTATTTCCCGTCTGCAACATCACAGGATAAATGCCAAAATGCTCTGTCTAGGACCCAGGCAGGTTTCAAGTGTGGAGAATTTGCAAGATTATATGCACATTCTGGATGCCCTTGGATCCATTTACTGTTAGCAGCTGAAAAAAATGTGAAAACATAAAATAAATCTTGTAAGCAAACCCATGGATCTTAGTTTCTTTCTACTGTTTAAAGGTGAAATGAAGTATAAAGTTCTACCATTTATCAACTGGACACCCCCTTACAGAAGGGTCACGGGGAGGAGACAAGCCAGTCAGGGTGCAGGGTAGCAACGATGAAACATACAACTTTCCTCTAGTTCCTAAATGCTTCCTCTCCCCCACTA